TTTCCACCAGGGAAAATTCACCACAAATAGTGCTAATAGTGCGGATAAACAACTAAAAATCTGCTACCAAAAAACAGTAAAAAAAGTTAGTGATTATTATCAAAATTTTAAACTTAACTTAGTGGTTTCCTCCCTGATGACTTTTATTAATGAATGTTATAAGTCTAACGCGATACCAATCGATTATGCTTTGGTTTTTTGTCAATTATTAAACCCGCTAGCACCTCACCTTAGTGAAGAATTATGAAGTTATTTCCAGGAAAAACCGATTAGTGAAAGCATTTGACCACCAGTGGAAGAATTGCCAATACTTTCCTCACAAATAAACATAGTGGTTCAAATTAATGGCCAAAAAAAAGCAGTAATTTCCCTAAAACAAGAGCAAAATCAGTCCGAAATTGAAGCAATGGCCAAAAGTGACCCGAAAATAAGTAAATTATTAGGAGAACAAAGAATTACAAAAGTTATTTTCATTAAAAATAAGTTAATTAACTTTGTTATCTAACTAAAAAATTATGTCAAAATTTCTTAAAAAAACAATTTTCTGAGCTATTTTAATAGCACTAATGCTCGGGATAGTTATATTTATTAATTCAAGGATAGACGAGAAAAAGAAGGAAAATTCCGAAAACAACCCGAACCAAAAATCACCTCAACCGCCGAATAATGATAACCCGTCGGACAATCCCGAACCAGTGCCACCAACTGATACTGAAAATTGATGACTAACGGACGAGGAAATTAACCACGCTTATCGAGAAATGGAAAAAGAGTTAGGCAATTCCACCGAAATAAAATTAGTTAGTCCCAGTGTAGTGCGAGTTATCCAAGCAGGTGGTGAAATTAGCGAAGATTTGAAAAAAGCCAAAATTATTTTCTTTCCGATAAATAATTCGGAAAACCATGAAACCGGTGACACGGGAAGTCATTGAACTTTGCTGGTTCTTCATAAGGAAGGAAAGATTTTGGGCGGCTATCATTATAACTCTCTCGACTCTTCTATTACTGATAATGCCAAAAAACTAACTGATAAATTTCGGCAAAAATTAAGTATAAAGGAGGAGAAACATGTACTCTATCCAGCAAAAAATCTTCCCCAGCAAACTGATGGTGCCGATTGCGGAGTTTATGTAATTGCTTTTACACGGGCTTTGATTAAGAGATTTCGAGAAGACAATTCCTATCATAATTGGGGTTTGAAAGAGGAAGATTTAATTTTTCCCATTGCCGAAGAGAGACAAAAATTAAAAGCGGTGGGTTTTCCCAAAAAGGATAATATCGGTGATGACGTTGAATATTTGGAAAGTGAGGAAAATCAGATTTTAGAGTGGTGAGACACGGCAGAATTAACAATATTACAAAGAGGCACTAAGCTCGCCTGGCTTTCTTCTGTATCCTTAGAAAATCTCACGAAAGCCGATAGTTTTAAAGAGTTCAGCAAAAAAGTTCGCTTATTAAGTGGCAAAAATCTGGAAAAGGACAAATTACAAAAAA